TCTCCCTGAGCGCGAGCGGCGGCGGCAGCTACCCCCATGGCGCCCCTCTCCCCCATAGTAGTGGACCTGGCCGAGTAGCACTTCCATGCACCCCTCTCTCCTATGGCTCCCCCACAATGGCGGCTCCCCAACGGCGGTGGATTTGGCTGAGGAGCACCTCCAGCGGCACGGATCTGGACGAGGAGCTCCTCCGGCTGCCTCCGATGGCAGATCTGGCCGAGGTGCTCTCTCTCCATCTCCATCGTGATGGTGGCACAGTGGTCCTGACGAGGAGCAGTGGTCTCGGCTGTGCAGAACTGCCCAAGTTATGATGAATCACACACACTTATCATTGTCTTAAAGACTTCTGACCATTATGCGTGGGACTCACACAACTCCGATAGTCTGTCGGGTGTCCTTGGGGATCCGGAATCATCCACTTTTGACATCCGATCAGGATCATTACAGAAAACATTGCAATATTACAACAGTTGATACAAATATATTACATCAGAGTTAAAGAGCGGAAGTATTACAAACCATAAGTTTACAAACCTTTTATTTAAGTTTTACAAACCATAAGTTTTTGACTTCTCAAACGAAGTAGGGTCGCATGACTAACACAACTTTATTCATTACATAAAGGTATCATCTTGCCCAAGGATGAGAGTATCACACATCTACTGCTGACTATCATCTTCTAGAACCAACATACAACAGGGACAAAAGCCTACCTACTGTTGGGGTTCACCTGCAACAGGTGTTAAGAAACCCTGAGTACTGAATTGTACTCCGCAAGACTTACCCAGTGAAAATAAAAGACTCCAAGGATATGCAAGCTTACGGGGTACAAGGAGGGTTTTGTAAGAATCAAGAATTGCTTTTGCATAGAAAATTTACTAAAGATTTATCCTTACTTTCAATGTTTTAGCTCAAGTTAAGTCATTATAAGTCTCGTGTTTGCACCTGATCTAAATCAATCAATTCTTTAACCAACACTTCTCATGATCATAAGTACCATTGTTTCATTAGTTAACTACGATGATGGTGCAAGAATCAAGTCTCCTGTTACCGTAGAGCAAACTGTGATTCAAACCAATTAAACCCAGCTGGGGATTCCCAACCACACGACATATGCAGGTCCCGGACCTACATATATCAACCTTCACTCGGATCCTCCAAAACATGAATCAGTCTGCGCTACCCAAGAATATAGTACTCCACCATCCTACGTCATCCGTGATGTTTTCGTAAGGTGGGTACACGCTACTCTCGCCATCTCCCACTCCCAGTGCGCAGTTAGCTTTTCACATAATGGAATAGCCGAGGTCTTAGGCTTACCGGAGTATGTGGCTAGTACTGTAAAAATCTTGATCCAAGGGCCAACAAAGGACGGTCCTTAACCGACACAGACGAGACAAGCACTACCAGGCAACCATGTCGGCTTAACCACTAGAGACATAACCCATGTCCCGTCCGGTCTCTAGTTTATCCATATTCATTGTTAATCTCAGAACATTTCCCGAGTATAGAACCATTGCGAATGATGAACTCATCACTCGACTCTTATAATCTAAGGATGGCTAAGGGTTACTAACATATCATCTTTACTTCAAGGTTGACAAGGATAAGGATTGAAATATCAAGGCAGGCAGGCAGCAGTTGATAATCAGCCAAACCCTAATCACTTAATGCACAAAGCATAGGACTTAAAGAGTAATAACATTTGTAAAACACAAGGAAGGGGTTTAAATGTTCTGGGGCTTGCCTTGGTAAGTAGAGGTGTTAGGTTCCCCTGACGAACCACAAATATCAAAACCAACCTCCACTAGTGGATTCTCTTCCTCTAGAACTTGATCAACGGTCACTTCCTCACCTTCGATCACTGCACGTGATAAAAGATGCATGCTTGACATGATGATATGCAATAAAAATGATGTATGAAAGATGCAACATGGGTTAAGATGATCAAACAAGATTAATTAACTTGAGTACAACTTTCCTTCATGTGTTAATTAAGTTAATTACTCACAAATCAATCTTATTATCATTATCACTAAGTTGATTATGATCATAACAAGAAAGTGATTAAGTTGCCAAGGAACATCCAAGGGGTTAGTGTTCCAAGATCCACAATCAAGTCCAAAAATCACTTCAAGGTTATTTAAATAGTTATAGAAATCATTTGGGTATTTATTTAATTAATCAAAAGGCATTTAAACACACTTAAATTAATTAACCAATTTAGAATTATCAAAACAGTTTCATGATTAAAGCATTTAAAGCATACACAAAAAGTTTCATGATTAAAGCATAATTATTTTAGCCTATAAAAATTATACATTTTGTGAAGGTGGGTATTAGCATTTAAAGCATACACAAAAAATTTCATGATTAAAGCATAATTATTTTAGCCTATAAAAATTATACAAGGCCCATTTTATAATTAAAAGATGTAAGTTTTAAGCATGCAAAAACTATTGATTTTTATGATTTCATATTTTTTAGATATAGCATATCATGAAGACGCTACACAAAAATTTTCATAATTTTATCACACTTAAATGATTTTATATGAATTTTACAAGAATCAGTACTTTTAATCTTTTTCTGAAATTAAAAAAGGAATAAAAATAGCCACAGAGACTAACAGGCGGGGCCCGTGGTCAGCGCACAGTGCGCCCGCGTTGACCATGGCGCGCACGGCCATTGACCGGCGGGTTCTCGCCAACGGCGACCTCGCCGGCGATGAGGCCTACACCTATGTGTTCCCCTCAACCTCACGCACACGCCTAGGCTACCGGTTGAACGAGTTTGAGCCCCGCACGAGCTCGCCCACGGCCATGGCGGCACGGCGGCGTAGAGCGCGGTGGCGCGGCGGCGACGCGGCGACGGCGCTGCGGTAGCGATCTAGCTAGGGCTTGGGTTAGCACCAGGAGCTCACCGCAATCACGCTCGGCTACTTGGTTGAAGCGAAGACGGAACGGAGGTGCGTTGCCGGCGTTAAGGGCGGATCCGACGGCGCGAACTGCAAAAGACGGCGGCGTTCTGGCGCGTCCTGCATGGTAACGATAAAAAGGAGAAACCGATCACCACCACGGCATCAAGGCGAAGCTAGAGCAAAAGAGAGATGGGCGTGAGACCCACCCGAGTGGTCTGGCCATGGCAAGGTGGTCATGGCGGTGATGGCGGACGGCCGCGAGGAAGATGATGGCCTCTGGCCAACTCTGACGGAAAGAGGCGGCGCGAGCGGGCTCAGGCAAAGCGCAAGAACTAGGCGGAGCTAGTTGCGAGATGGAGCGGACGGAGGTGAAGTGAGGGCGGCGAATTTTGCCGGCGAACTGAGGTGCATGACAACGACGCTGAAAGAGAAAAAGAGCGAGATGGCTGCCAGCGTGGGGTATTTAAAGGCGAGGGCGACGCCACGACATTGGCAGCACCTTCGCGAGCTTGGCCACGCAGGCTGCCGCGCGTCCACACACGAGAAACGCCGTGGCGGCCACAGCGGACACCGGTGAATAGAGAGAGAGGGAGAAAAGAGAGGAACGGCATCGGGGTACTGTTCATGTCTGAGGTGGCATCTTCTTCTTCCTTTTTATCCCAATTCCATATAAAAACTTGAAAAACTTCCTTAATGAAACTTGTTCCTCTAAATGAAATCTCCGACATTGCTTTAAGGCTCAAGCTCTAATTCTAAACAGTTAGAGAGTTCTAGGGTAAGAACAGAGGGAGATTGAAACTGAAACTCTAAACCTTCAGTTAGGGTTTGAAAACAGTTTTTCTTAGAGACCTTTGAGCAATTAATTAACAACTAATTACTGATTAAACATCACAACCAATCACTCATTATCAAAGCACAAACATCATACCAAACAATGGAACAACAGTTGGACAACTTTTATTTATGAAAAATTATTTATTAATTCACCAAAGTTTGAACTTAGCACTGATTTCCATGACAGCCAAAAAATGCTGAGGGAAAAACAACATTAAATTCAATCTTTGGAGTCCAATTTCAACATATTTAACTTAGAAACACCATCATATTTTGATTCTATATGAAATCACTCACTTTGTACTAAAAAGTTTATTTTGGCAAAAAAATTATTTGTATAAGCAATTTCACATATATAAATTCACAAAGAACCTTAAACATTAACATTGTTAACATTTCATGCAAAATACGAAACATCGTATATGCAACATATGATTGCCTTACTTAAAACATGAAATGCATTTATACTATGATGCTTGATGATTATGCATAATGATGATTATGATTAGGGTTTTATTAGATGCTTAACACCTAGGGTGTTCCACCGGCGAGGAGGTGCTAAGATCCGGCGTGTTTCCCGGCAGCGGATATAGGGCGGGCTCGTCCTCCGGCGGCGGATCCAGGGCGGGCGCGGTCTCCAGCGGCGTATCCAGCGATGACGACGGTTGCGGCGGCGGCGCGTGGATGGGCTCGGTGGGCCGATGGATGGGCTCGGCAGGCCTGTCCACGGGTTTTTGTTCTTTTTTTTTATTAACCGAGACAGGCATCTGAACCGCCTCGATAAAGATTTCATTTACCGTGACTTTTAGACTGGGCGGTTGTGATGCCCACCTCGGTAAATTCATTTTGTCCGCCTCGGAAAAGTTTATAGTACTAGTGATTGGACTTTTTCCCAGCGTGACGTAAATATTAGAGGCCGGGGTCATCAGTGGTAAATAGATGGACCTGCACGTATTGAGCCGAAGCCCGTCATCGCCCAGACTTCTCGGGGGCCAGTGATCGAATGGCCAGCTGACTTGGATATGTACACGTGCGGTATACACGCAGCAGTACCCTTTGATGGATATGGCCGGTTTACTTACCACGATTATAACTGGATAAGACGGGATAAGGCTCTCTACAGCTATATATATCTCGTAGTAACTCTTCTTAACAAACCTTTATAAATTCCTACTCGATCCCTTCGCTCCACCGGCTACTTCTACTCTCTTTTCCTTCCGATCCGATCCTCTCGGCTGATTCGATCATGGCGGGCGGCAGCTTCACCGAGAAGGGCAAACAATATCCAGTGAAGATGACGGTGTTCGTCTTCCTCGCCTGCCTCGTCGCCTCCTCCGGCGGTCTCATCTTCGGATGCGACATTGGCATCTCAGGTACGTCATCGATCTGCTCATCTCTGTCGTCCAGTCCAGTCCACCATTCATCGTCGATGATCGACGAACAAATTGCATTGCATGCGTGCAGGCGGTGTGACGTCCATGGACCCGTTCCTGAAGCAATTCTTCCCGTCGGTGTACGCCAAGGAGCAGGAGGTGGTGGAGACCAACCAGTACTGCAAGTTCGACAGCGTGCTGCTGACGCTCTTCACCTCCTCGCTCTACCTCGCCGCGCTCGTCGCCTCCCTCTTCGCCGGCTACATCACCAGCAGGTGCGGCCGCAATTAATTAAGTAACAACAAACATGATGGGCAATGCAATCCATGGCTGCATGCAGTTCGTGCTTGGGACGCTGATCGCCATCAAGTTCGGGACGATGGGCGTGGCGTCGATCTCGCGGTCGTACGCGATGGGGGTGGTGTTCTGCATCTGCGTGTTCGTGTCGGCGTTCGCGCGGTCGTGGGGGCCGCTGGGGTGGCTGGTGCCCAGCGAGATCTTCCCGCTGGAGATCCGGTAGGCGGCCCAGAGCGCGGTGGTCGTCTTCAACATGATCTTCACCTTCGTCATCGCGCAGATCTTCCTCATGCTGCTCTGCCACCTCAAGTTCGGCCTCTTCTACTTCTTCGGCGCCTGGGAGATCGCCATGACGCTCTTCGTCTACTTCTTCCTGCCGGAGACCAAGGGGATCCCCATCGAGGAGATGGACAGGATCTGGGCCAACCACTGGTACTGGAACCGGTTCGTTGACGGCGCCACGGCGGCAGCTCACCTCCACCGCCGTATAACACTCGTCATCTTAGTCACTAGTTCGTGCTACTTCTTTTATCTCGAGGGAAATTGTCATCCCTATTTTTCTGATCTCAATCGACGGAAATTGTCATCCGTAGTGAGACTTGATATTGTTTATTACTGTTGGAAAATGTTGACGTAAAAAAATATGAGCATCCTGGTTGTCATATACTCCCTCTTATTCCAAACATAGGTTGATTTAAATTTATCTACCATGTAAACTATTTTTAGCTTTGATCACCTGTTTTATACTATTGTTACCAATTGAAAATCATCAATGGAGCCTTCATGTTAATCTCTCCATGAGATACCTTATAGAAAAATAATAAAAATTCTAACGAAAATAAAAGGGTTAAGTCCAATTTACACCCTCCAACTTGCAGCAAAGTTCGGATTTCAACCTCAAACTTCAAAACCGAACAACTTTGGCCCTCCAACTCTCAAAAAAGTTCAACTTTCGACCTTCTGGGCGGTTTTGCGGGTAAACAGTAACTTTTGATATTTTCGGGAGCGCTGAAATTTTATATTATTTTTTCGAGCATCTTAACTTCCTCAAATGAAAAAACTCAAAACTACAAAGTTGTAGATCTCATCGAGGTCTACAATTTATATATAAAAATTATCTTCATCCGACATCGTATTGAAGGGTTTTCTATTTTTTGAAATTTGAAAACCATCAATACGATAAAATATGGTGCTAAAATTTTATATTATTTTTTCATTCTTAGACCTCAAATGAAAAAACTCAAAACTTTGTAGATCTCATGAGTTACAATTTACATATAAGGATTATCTTCATCCGACATCGTAAAATGATAAAATTTCAGCACCATATTTTATCGCGTGATAAGACTCAAATTTCAAAAAATAGAAAATCCTTCGATACGATGTCGGATGAAGATAATTTTATATGTAAATTGTATACCTCGATGAGATCTACAACTTTGTAGTTTTGAGTTTTTTCATTTGAGGACGTTAAGATGCTTGAAAAAATAATATAAAATTTCGGCGCTTCCGAAAATATGAAAAGTTACTGTTCACTCACAAAACCGCCCAAAAGGTTTTGAAAGCTGAACTTTTTCGAGAGTTGGAGGGCCAAAGTTGTCCGGTTTTGAAGTTCGAGATTGAAATCCGAACTTTGCTGCAAGTTGGAGGGTGTAAATTGGACTTAACCCAAAATAAAATGGTATGACCATCAATTCACAAAAGAAATCTAATGAAAATAAAATGATTTGACCATCCATTCAACAATGTATGTATTGTGTAAATTATACATGGCTCACAATCTCTTTCATATGTGTTTGGGGAACATGTTTGCGGTTGGATTCAAGAACGCCAAGATTGACTCATCCAAACCATCCAAACCGAACCCGAAGTCAAGTGATCAATAGCTAAGAGCAACTCTAAGGACAAATGGAAATTTAGATCTCTAAACCGGCTCTCTAATAAAACTATTGAGAACCTCAAACAAAACAAAGGAGCTCTGGAAAGTCTCGGCACCACCGAAGGTTAAGCACTTCTTCTGGCTAGCGCTTCATAAACGATGTTGGATGGCAGCGCGTCGGCAGTGGCATGGTTTACAACAGTCTGCCACTTGCGTCCTCTGTGGATTGGACGCTGAGGTCTGAGGAGATTGATCATCTCCTGCTTTCCTGCCAATTCAGTATGGAGGTTTGGAGCACAGTTCTAGGCCTTACCATTACCGGCCTCGCTAACCTTCTGCTATTGGACACTGTGTCCTTCTTCTGGGACTGGTGGATTAGGTCGCGAAAGAGGGTCGCCAAAGTTTCAAGGAGGGGTTTTGATTCGTTGATCCTGCTCGTTGGTTGTCAATTATGGAAGGAAAGGAACTCCAGGACTTTCGATGGTGCTGTGAAGTCAACGACGATGTTACTCGGCTCAATCGTCGAAGAAGACAACCTTTGGATTTTAGCAGGTTTTCGTCAGCTCCGAACCTTGCTGCCGCTGGTCCTAGCTAACCCGTCGCAAATCATGCATGTAAATTAGTGAGCCTTTATCTGTGTTTTGTGCTAGTTAGTTCCTTCCTTCCGCGGTAATCTATGAATTATTTTGAATCGTTGTAACTAATCGTAACTCTACTTCTATTTAATGAAACACGTGTCATAAGGACGCGTTTGGAAAAAAAACCAAACAAAGTATGTCCGTTCTGCAGAAGAATCCCTAAAAATAAAGCTTGTCTATTTTTTAAAGTCACCACGTCAAAATTAACTAAATTGAAAATAAAGCTCTCTGTTTTTTAAAGTCATCACGTCAGCAAACTAACTGAATTTTGTTCGCGAGCCGCCAGATTGCAAGAGGCCATCATGGCATCGTATGCCAACATCCAGGCCGATCCTACCCACCGTGGAAAATTGGCTGCAGCAACCGGCTACCAAGACAAGGGCGTCTATAGCCAGGGGCGGAGGGAGGGAGGAGGGGGGGCTGGGGACTGCCACCCCCACAATGATCTACTAGATCCTCTATTAGGTGTAGATATACTTGTATAATATATATATTTTTGAGGAAAGCCACACTTTATTAGCTCATAGTTGAATTACAAACACCATCGGATGACAACAAAACCAGACATTTCTACCAAGAGACATGGATATAGAGCTCCTAGCTAATCTATGCGCATCCACATTCGAACTGCTTCGTTCATGGACGAACTCCATGTGGGGGAAGGTAGCTCTCCTCGCCATGATCACCTTCACTATTGGCCCGTATAGCCCCATTTCCCTCTCCATGGATATTCTTCACTGCATTGATATAGTCGCAAGCCACCCAAAACTTGTGCAATAGCAGGTCCGATGCCAACGCCAAACCTTCTCGACAAGCTATCGTTTCAACTACTTTCGGGCTGGTTATGCCTTCCATCACTAGCATTGAGGCTCCCAAAAAGTTCCCTGCTTCATCTCTCTCCACTGCAGCTGCGGCAGAAAGATTAGAGGTCTTCACCATTGCTGCATCAAGATTTACTTTTGCAAGACAAGGCGGTGAGGGTAGACATCTCGACGACGACGCTGGTAGGCCACCCCCGCTACTCCCCTGAAACCTTCTTGGTCACCATGAGCTCTTCCAGATAACTCTCCACAAAAAAGTGTGTGGGCAAGGGGCTTTGGAAAACATTCTCATGAATCACCATTCGCCTCACATGCGAAATCGCTCACAAGCGAATCACAACCCGTGTAATTGCCTTGTGAGACAAAGTCTTCCACACTACTGCTAACCATGCTCGCACATCTCCTTCACTTATCATACTTAGTGCCCTAGCGATCTCCTCTTGCTCCAACGCTAGATGGCCTTCGCCGTGTGACACTCTAGGAGGGAGTGTTTCCAAGAATCCGAGCCGCCGCAAACACTGCACCGGCTATGATGCCAGAAATAAATGATAAGTTGTCATCCCTAGCAATGATGCTAGAAATGCGTTGTTGATAATTATTGAGAACACTTGTAAATTTATATATAGTAAGTAATCCGCAAGCGCACAGATAATATACCATTGTAGCATTTCACCCAGGAGTATGCCAGGTATCGTTATTTATATTTTAACCATAGGGAGGAGCGATGGGGTGGCTAGAGATATTGACAGATATGCATACTTATGACAAGATCATTAACTCTCATACTATAGCAAGGGTATGTCAAATGATAAATAAATGATAAGTGTAAGGCATTGATAGTAACCTAGAGATAGAAATAGATACTCATAAATATAGTATGGCTAGGCAGGAGATTAGTTAAGAGCAAAAGATTCCTAGGTCATTCCTTATTTACTAAGTCTTTTGTACACCCAAGTATATACACTCTTATCTATAGCATAACTAACTCTGTATCTATGCATAAGGAACATTACTAAGGAAGATCAAGAACAAAACTTGTCTCCCTTCACAACCGGGTTCTACTTGTTCTACAAACGGGGAGTGGACTACAAAGGACTCAACAGGAGTGTCACATCCGTGATCTACCACATGATCCAGAGTGTAGAGTGCATCCGCAGGTAAATAATATTGAAGCGCCACACTTACATAATGTCGACCACTTAACTCACTCAAGTACTGAACTAAGCGCTTTGCGAACATATACATAAATTCATCATCAATCATGACTATATCAAGTATACTACTAGAGCAAACTAGGAAGATAATAAATAGAAACATAGTATTGAAGTAGCACAAAGTCGAAATATAAAAGAATACAATGGCTTTACCGGCCTCCAGACGGCGAATCTAGTCTACTTAAATCTTGCTAGCTAGCCTATACTAGAACTTTGAAGAATTGGAGCTCTATTCTCTTCTCTTTGGAAAGCTTAATTTCTAATCTGATCTTGACTTATGTAGTTCTGCCTAAGGGAGGGGGCAGAGGCTGGTATATATAGTCCGGACCCTCAATTCTGGACCCTTGGATCAAACCGACTTGAATAAATAGCGTGGATGCAATTCTTAAGGTAGTGGAGAACCAACATACGAAGCTGGCGGCTGACTGGTGGGCCCAGGGGCCGGCCGGCCTGCAGGTGGGTGATTACTTTCATACCCTTATACTTGTTATATTGATGGTTTATAATGTTTGTTAACTACCGTCAATAAACTCCCCAAGCTTAACCATTGCTCGCCTTGAGCAATACTAAACTCAGCAATGGATCAGGAGTTGCATCAATGTTTTCACTCCTCAAAAGTACACATGCGTTCAAGCAAGAATTCTCCTCTGAATTAGAACAAACTGGTCTGACTTTCATACTTACTCATATTACCTTCAACCATGGGGTTTGTAGCCTTCACTTAGGTCTCAAGCTCTTTGTTCAACCATTATTCTAGAGTTTTTTGCAAGTTTCTAAAATAAAGCTCAGAGATTCCATTGTATGACACTCTCAAGTCTCTCAAAATATGTGGTATTTGTGGATCCTCACCAAGGCAATAGTGATGTTATGCCTTTCTCTTCCTACAACTAAGGCTTATGTGGAGCTCATAGGAATGGTGATAATATGAAAGAGAATACTTGCAATACATATATTGTAAAGTCAAACAACGGATATAAAGAGAGTTGAGTCATACAATCAAATAAAGATGTGCATGTGTGTGGAATATATGGTGGCCAGCATAATTCTACTATGCTCCTTGAAAACTTATCTCTCTTTTGAAACTT